TGCTCTGATACCAAATGTTACTACTGCAATACACAAGATTGATTAAGAAGAAACAAGGTGGGGAAATAGGAAGAAAACAGAAGAAGTTAGGGAAAAGGAAGGAAGAAGATAAGAGAGGAAATTGAGATATTTTTCATTCATATCCAATGATTGGATTACAAAGGGAATTTAATAACGTTCAGCTGACAATTTAGTTATCTAGGGATTAGCAAATCTGCCAACTGGCAGTACAAGACAGCATCATTTGTACTATTCTATACTAGTACCAAAAAGGACTGGAATTTAAATTACCTAGGACTAAACTGCTATAATTGAAACTATGGGACTAAAGTGACTAACAAAAATAACTGAAATAACTACCATTCTGTAACATTTTGTCGCCATCGTTGGAGTCTCGGTCGCGGTTCTATGTTCGATTCGTTGGTCATCGGCTCTACGTCGGTGCTTTTCTCTGTTGCTGTACCGTTTTCTTGGAGATAATTTTTATCAAAAGGTCAATTTATTTTTATTGTTGTTATATTAGTTAATTTCATGCTCTATTCTCGTCTAGTTGAATGTTTTATGACTGTGATATCATTCCATTCTTAGTTCCCCCAACTGTCTTGTTTTGTTTCACTGTTGTTGAAATTATGGAGATTTCGTATATGTTTTTCTTTTGTAATAAAAAAACTCATAGTTATAAAATTATGTGGATGGCTAGATAAAGTTAGAAAAGTTTGTTAAATGTTTAAACATATCCCTGTTAGTTACTTGACGTGATTTATTCACAAGTCTAGCATAGTTATCGAAATTAGTTCATTTACTTGTTAGATAAGAAGTGAAACTTTAGTTTTAATGTGCAAACGGCAATCACATTATATAAATGGTTGTTTTATGATTTCAAATAACTGCATCATACACTTCTTCCGCAAATATTTCCCAAAGCTCTTGGCCTCACAATAATCTCAAAATTTGGGAAGAATAATGAACACTGTTAGAGTGCTTTAGGCGTGTTTTAAATTTATTATCGTAATTATGTACACGTTCGCGTGACATAATTATGATTCCCAAAATAAATCAAGGTACGCGTTCCCGCGGCCTTGACCAAACAATCTTAATAATAATAAAGTATTATTAATTGTGTACACGTACGCATGACATGATTCTTAACGCACCAAACAAAAAGAGTACACGTTCGCGTGACTCGCTTTCAAGATAATTTTATAATCACGAATAATCAAGTAATTAGAAGAGTTTAAAAGGTAAAATACACATAGGTTCTAAAATATGTAATTAAACAATAATTTAAGCCAAGTATAAATTATTAAGCGACCGTGCTAAAACCATGGAACTCGGGAGTGCCTAACACCTTCCCCCGGGTTAACTGAATTCCTTACCCAATCTTCTGGTTTCGCAAACTTAAAACGGAGTCAAATTTCCTCGATTTGGGATTTAAAATAAATTGGTGACTTGGGACACCATAAATTATCCCAAGTGGCGACTCTAAAATAAATAAATAATCCCATTTCGATTAATGTCACTTAAATTGAAAAAACTCATTTCTTTCCTATCCCCCTCGGGAAAAATAGGAGGTGTGACAGCAATCAATCCTATTGACCCTTTGGGGTCCCAATCATCCTCAATCTCGATCATGTGAATGCCTCCACCCTTGTGGTCAGGCAGAGGATTGTTGCGGACATTGGGAGCGGGCTCCTTTGCTATGATGACTTTATTATCAATCAAGGTCTGAATCTTGTCTTTCAACGAGTAACACTCGTCGATGGTATGGCCTTTCATTCCGGAATGGTATGCGCAGGTTTTGTTCGGATTGATCCATTGGGAGGGATTTTCTAAAGTTATGGCTGGGATAGGGGTGATGTAACCGGCTGCTTTGAGTCTTTGATACAGCTGGTTAATTGGTTCGGCGATGGCTGTATATTATCTGGGAGGTCTACAGTCGAAGTTTGGTTTGGGTCTAGGAAAGTTTTGGCGAGTGGGTGGTGATTAATAGTGAGAAGGTTGGGCATTATAGGCTTGGTACACAGGTGCGGGTTGAGAATATCTCGGTGAAGTGGGTTGATATGTGGGAGGTGGAGATGACTGATAGGTGGGTGGTGGAATTTGGTATGTGGGTGAAGGTGCTTGGTAATTTAGGGAAGGCTGATATGTAAGTGGAGTTAAGGGGTATGTTTGGTATTTCATCGGAGATTTGGTTCTCTGCGCAGCCATTACGGAGTTCACATCCTTCTTCTTTGAAGTGCCCCCAGACTATAAAGCCTTGTTGGTGGCATGTAGTGCTTCAAGATTAGTGACCATACCATTTCTAATGCCCTCTTCAATTCTTTCTCCCAGCTTGATGATGTCGGAGAACTTTTGGCCTTCTATCAGCATTAATCTTTCATAGTATTTGGATCCTGAGCCCGAACAAAGAACCTGTTCATCTGCTCTTCTTCTAAGGCCGACCTGACCTTAGCGGCTTCTGCCCTCCAACGAGTAGCGTACTCGCGGTATGTTTCTGTGGGTTTCTTCTTCAGATTCTGGATATAAACCTGAATCGGTCCATAAAGTCGGACGCCATACTTACCCAGCTTGTCTATTTCTTTGAATCCTGGCTGATGTACCAAGACAAGGCATCCCCTTTCAGACTCCTCATGAACAGCTTCATGCGGATTTTATCATCCCTTCCAACTCCTACCAGCTTATCACAGTATGTCCTTAGATGAACCCTGGGATCACCTGTACCATCAAACATCTCGAACTTGGAAGGTTTGTACCCCTCTAGGAGTTCGATGTCCGACTGAATGCAAAGATCTTTATAGTTCAGCCCCTCAATGCCTTTGCTACCTTCGACACCCTGGACCCGTCTAGTTAACTTCTTGAGTTCCGCGGCAGACTTCCTGATAAGGGAGTATTTGTCGTCTGATTCATATGCACTTGAGATCGGTTGGGTATAGTGGGGTATAGTGTCCACAAAGATAAGAGTGTTATTGAGTTGGTCGTTTGTAGTGTTTGGTGGTTCGGGAATGAGCAATGGAGCGTTGTTGCATGTGTAGCAAGTTTGAGCATGAGTGGGTTGTATTTGTGGTTGCGGGGTGTTTTGTGGAGGTACGGGGTTTTGGGTGTTGACATCAGGAGCAGCAAGAGAGAATGATAGGCTTGCCAAGTTCCGAACTTGGTCCAATTCTTCCTGGAATTTCAGCAATTTTTGCTCAAGATGAGCAACAGTTCCGTTAGTAATTGGGCTACCCTGAGAAGTTTCCTCCCTTTCAATCTCCTTTCTAGCACTTGCGTTTCCCATTCTTCCTTTGTTCTTGTTTCTAATAGGACTCGGAGGAGGAGGAGGAGGTGGAGGGCCCTTAGATCTTGTAGAGTATGTTGATGGTGCCAGAATGCACGAACTAACCTTTGGGGAGGGGAATAAAAAAAACAAAAGGTAAAAAGTTAGTGCGGATTCTGGAAAAAAAATTATTGCAATATGTAAACACATTGTGCAAGAATATTAGTCGTGTCCTAATTTGGGTGCCTCATTGTGCCCGAGGTAGGCCTAGCGACAAATTAACTTTGGAGAACTTATAATGCTAAATGCCTCATTTTATTGATAAAAATAAGAGGAGTCTTAAACAACTAAATAACGGGAAATGAAAATATCACTAATGGCGAGTGGCCTTATTACATTATGAAAGCAGGAAATAAAAGATCCTAACTACTTGGTCCCAGAAGGACCTTCCCCAGATTCGGTATTCTTGCCTCCCTCGTACAGCTGTACCAACTCGCGCAGTCCTAGCAGTAAATAGGCTCGGGCCAGATGTCCGCCTGCATTTCCCTCATCATTTTAACAGTCTTCAATCCTTTTCAAGAATTTCCCTTCCAGCTCTACTAGACCCCGTTCCAGATACCCTAGCCGCTTGTTGGCGTTGACAGTCATATCCTTCCACTTGTCGATCAACTTCTGGTGAGCTTCTTGTATTTCTCGATGCTCATTCTCACATTCTCGAATTATTTTGCGCAATTGATTGTACTTAACTTGTGCTTCAGCCTTTTCGTCGATAAGCCTGTGACCTCGGATGAACCCAGGATGACCCAAACTAGTGATATTATCTTCCAACCAACCTGAGTAGTGCGGCACACACCCGGCGTGATACCTGTCCGGCTCGATAGATTCTCTCCCCAAGACAAGTTTGCAATGCCACATGTGCTGAGCTTGACACCTGTGAGGGCTATCATCGTCCTGAAAGTCAGCCCTGAAGTGACTTATTTTGTCCACCCTTGGTATGATTTGCTTTCTTCCTGCCTGTCATGGCTCGGAGGGGGACATAGGGATAAGTTCCCCTCAGACCAATGAGTATGAGGAATGGTGCATCCTGAGAACGAACAATGAATTCCCCTGTTGGGAACCACTCGAACATCCACTGCACTTGATCTTCCTTTAGATTCTCAAATAGCTCTACCCATCCTCTAGCGTCCTCTGGTTGGGCGAACATGTTAGGCATGAGGTTCATTCGCTTTGGGTGGTGAAAAGCGATATGATCATCTCAATCTCTGCGTATCATTTCCTGCCGGTAATCACCTTTCTGAATATGTTCTACAAGCCAGAGTTGAAGCGACAGATCACAACCTTCGAAGTGTTTGGCCCCTTGTTGGCACTTTTCTAGGGCTCGATATAGCTCAGCGACAATCATGGGCACTATGCTGAAAGACTGCCCGTCAATCCCTTCCATTAAGGTCTTGGTTACCATGGCTAGTCTGGTGTGGATCCTAGCCTTCTTCATAGGAAAGATTATCATCCCCAGAAAACAGAACATGAAGACAAAAACCCTTCTGTGGACATGCCCTAAAGAGGTAAGGGCAAATTCGTCGGTGTAGGTGCGGTATGACTTGCTATGGTCATACCTCTCGTACAAGTAGTCGAATGGGATGTAGGAATCTTTCAAGCAAGTCAAGTCCGGGTTTTTCTTGAGTCCCATCATTTTGAGGAAGCCCCTACCTTTGCGATTTTCCGGCATAAGCAGACCCGGAGTCTCTCAAGGAATACCAGCTAGACCCCCTATTTCTTCAAGTACAGGGGTCATGTCAAGGTCCCCGAAGCGAAACACTGACCGGTCGCTATCCCAGAACAAAGTTGCAGCCTCTATGATTTTGTTGTCAGGCTGGATTTCCAGAAGCGAAGGCAAAAAGTATTTTTGGAAAAGAGTCCGATCACTGGCATGAAGGTCCTCCCACCAGCTTAGCAGCCTTGGGTAGATGTTGGTTACCATACCGAATCTGGGAGACTTCGTGCATCATTTTCTGCAAAACAAAATGTTAGACCCTTACCCCACCAGACTCGACTATTTAAATCAACAATTAGCATGATAGGCATTTAGTTCTCCAAATAAATGCACAGAATCATGGAGGTGTCTGTTTGGGTTTCAAGGGAAACCGATGGACTTTGGACTAGGCTATCTTAATGAGTCATTATGCGGACAACATAACTGACTCGGCTAGATTTGACCATGATGCATGTACAGTTTAACAGAGTAAGGTTTCTATTTGAAGTGCTAGACTGGTACCCTTGAGCGAACAACTCAAGAGGGAAAGGCGCGGAACCGTCGACTGCACCGTTGATCGACTGGTTTTACCGTAAATATGCCTTTGCCAAATTTAGGAGATGATAATATCGGGAGAGCGCAACCACTCATTATAAGCGTTGCTATAGGATTTGTTTTGGCACGAGTGGAGTATGATGTTGAAGATGCAATTTACAAGAATGAAACAAATTGACATGTATTTTCACGTACATAAGATAAATGATTACAATAAATGCTCGAAATTACAACGGTATTGAAATAATAAAGCAGTAAAGGAAAGCAGTTAAAGGAAAGGAAAGACATGAAGATCCAAGTTAGTTTTTACGATGAAATAATTAAAAGGCAATAAATAAAGGCAATTAATGAAATAATAAAGTCACAAATAGCATGTAACGGTAAAATCCTAAAGAAATCCCCAACAAAGTTGCCATGCTGTCGACGCCCCCTTTTTTCACGTGGACGGAAGTCCAAAATCGGGTATACGATATTATGGGAGGACAACTCTTATTCCCTTGCGAGAATTTGGGTTTTGGAATTTGGAGAGTCGCCACCTAATTATTATAGTGCATTAGGACACTTTTAAAGAAAAGAATTGAGAAGAAGAACCAGAGTTTGGGTAAGGGATTGAGATTATCTCAAGGGGAAGGTGTTATGATCCCCTCAAGATCCACTAGTGTGGTTCCCGGCCATACTACAATTGTGACTTTAGAAGATAGAAGAAACAAATAAGGTTTTCACATAATTATTGCAAACAATTTTAAAGTTTTTAAAAGAGAAAAGGAAACGAGATATTTTAGAAAGGTTAATTAAAAGAAGCATTATAAGTAAAGGGGAAGGGGGTCCTAGGTTTATACATAATATGGATCACATCAATGCAATACCCGATGTACAATCCTCTAAAGAGGGGTCGCACGTGATATTAGCGCACCGGTCATCATATCCATATTCTACCCTTCCCACCCCGTTAAGGTATTAAAGCGCGTTTAGTCTTGTTTACTTATTGCATGCTAGTACCCGTCTCAATCCTATCAGTCCCGGGGTATTAGGACTTCTAGTCCTAAAAAGGAGAAAGGGATGGGGGCCTTTATGGAGTTTAAAGGATAAAATTCTAGTTCGACATTCAAAACATGTATCAAATAAAGGGAAGAGCGAGCAAGTAAATACGGCTTAAATAAACCCCTGAAATCATATAGTCATATAGTTTAGCATGCCTTGGCAAATACTGATTTGGTCTTAGATTAAAATTAAGCGGTGAGCGGACTGGTTCAACACATATATTTAGACAGAAAGTCTACATTAGGCACACTCGGATACAGTTGTCAGAGATTAAGGCATTGAATTAGCGCGAATTGATTAAGAAGCATTGATCTTTAGAAAATAACTATACAGAATAATTTTTGAAGAAATGGGTATGCTGCAGACTTATGAAAACATTTAGAAACGAGTTTTAAAAAAAGGAAGCGGACTGCCCAGTTGTAATTAAGCACAGAAAAGGTAAATTTAAGAGTTTCAGAGGAGGCAGATTTATTTAAAGAAAATGAGTGAATTGCAGAACTAGCTTAAACGACAAATTCAAAAGAAAGGAGTTGAATTTGAAAACACGTTTAGTCAGAGTATTAGAAAAGCAGTTTCAGAGAAGATATGCAAGTTAAAGAAATGGATTTTAGGGAAAAGTATACACTGATTAGAGACAGGTTTTATCAAAAGATTACGTTTTGGAAAACATATACTGACTTAGGCGGGTAAGAACCAGTTAATTTAATTGATTATTACTGCTTTTAGACAGGCCAGGCGAATTTGATTTAAAAGTTCCTATAGGCATGATTTCTACGAGTTATTGATTTAAACCTTGTTAATAGACTTATGAACGGATGCTTGTTTGATTAATCCTAAAATTTGCCCAGCGTCATGAGTATGCATACTCCTATAGGCATAATATCTACATACAGAGAGTTAAAATATTGACTCCTATTGGCAGGATTTCTATATGCATGATTGCAGAAAGTAGGCGTTAGGTCCTATAGGCATGATTTCTATGTGATTGAATTAACATTAAACGACCCTATAGGCAGGATTTCTACATGATTAACAGTAAAATCCTAGGATCATGAATTCTACCCTTTAGTGCAGGAAAGTAAAGACCCCCCACCCTTTCACTATATTCCCCGAGTTTATACAAATTATTACAAACAAAAAAAATAGAGAAAATACATCAGAAGCTGGCAATTGCATCCAAGGTACCGAAATCAGGCCTAATGTCTAATAATATGCGATTGAACCATTTTCGGGATCCAGATTTCCAAAGCCTTCTCTTTATCTAGGGTATTTCAAAGTTCCAAGGAATCTCAGAGATTTCCAGCATTGCTTACACCCAAGATACCATTAGAATACAAACAGTGCAGTGTGGAAAAGCCAGCTCTCAGGCATCCAAGTTCAGAGGGAGCTCAAGGGTCCCAAAGCAAGGCTTGCAAGAGAGGGGCAGAACTTAATAGCTAAGAGTAAGTGTAAGTGCAGAGGGATTGGGGAAGCCATGACAGGTGGTCGTCGTGCCTAGCCACAAAATAGGCCGGCACACCTCTGACCACCCTGTTTGGTCAAACAAATTAAGAGCAGACCCTTGAAGGTCAGACCAGGGTCTGGACAGTGATTAGGACACTGCCAGACCCAAGTCTAAAGCTCAAACACACATAAAGGGGAAATGGAGTGGGAATTGATTGAGTTTGGGATTCAAAGAATCCAATCCAGACACATGAACAATAATATTTAAGTGTTGTCATGCTTTTGAACCATAACTCACATATAAAGGGGGTAGGGATAAGGGGATTCACATAAGGACAAGAATGATGAACTTGCAGAAAAGCAGTAAGAAAGCAGTATAACAGAACTGAAATATGAAACACATAGGAGAGGGACAATATTTAAAATAGGATAGACAAACCAGTTGCAAAGTAAACAGAAATAGAAGAGTAGAGCACTCGCAGCCACAACAACAAAAGAAAAACTAACTCAGGATTTCAGAGAAAACTCGAAAGCTTTGAGAAAAACTTAAAGGTATTTGAGAAAGAGAAGAGAAGTGATATCCAGAACTGGTCTGTATGTTCTGTGATTATAAGAGAATTCTTATTCTCGACTGATCATAGAAAAGGGGAGGGCTCATCCCTTATATAGTTTTTGAAAACAAGTAAGGTAGGCAAAGAGTGCACAAACATAGAAAACCAATCAATTAGTATCAATTAAGACAAATAGACTCCTTTAATTAAGGGGTCTAGGTGAAACGGCTAATCAAGGTAGAACAAGGAGGAAAAATCAGTTTTCTAAGGCTAGATTAAGGTAAGGAAACGACATAGTGCACAAATAAGGTTAAGTACAGAGTTGGTAATTAAGGAAATATGGAATAATAGTGTGAAAAATAAGGTATCAGTTTGAAAATCAGTCAAAAGATTTCAGACCTAATGCAAATCACAAAGAATCTAAAGTAATTAAGGAAATAAATAATTCAAACGTTGGTACAAAATCACAGAGGATTTAAGGAAAACATCACAAGTCTGGAATTTTTACACAAAAGATCAAAATAAACAGCAAGTAGGGCAAAGGAGATTCAATCGAAAGAAATCAGTGATGGATCACTAGCATAATTAAAGGGATATCAAAATCAATCCTTAGAAAGGGAAGTTTTTCTCATATATAAAGCATACAGTTCAAACCAAAGAAGAGTCTCAAAAATGAAAATTTCAGAGTCGAAGGCAAATAAGACTTTGAGTTCGATTACAGGCTCATCGTGAGTCTGTAAACCTAGGGTTTCAGAGTGAAACCCTAGTGCCATCTTACCAAAGGAAAACCCCCAAATTTTAGGGTTTCACCTAGAATCAGAGATGAGAAGTCGTTACAGTCATGGAGATAGGCGGACATGCATAAATAGAAGCAAGGGAAACTACGAGTTTTAAGACAAAAGGTAGGCAAGAAAAATGATCAACGAAACTTAGAAACAAAAGTAAAGCATGAACTTAAACACATATAGCAGAGAGTAAGGATCAACAACCCAGGCTAGCATGTGAACAAAAAATAGAAAAGAATCTCTGTAAAAATCAGGTACGAAATAAGAGAACAGACTTGAACATAACAAGAAATAAAACAAACGAGCATAAACACATAAGAGACAATGAAAGAGTCAGAAAACATTTAGGAGCCATTTTCAGAAACCTTAAAAATCGGATTTGAACAGTTTTGAAAAAGGAAATTTGTGGAAAGGCTCTAAAATGTCACACACAGCATAGATCTAGCACAGATCTAAACGAATAGAACGAAAAAGAACCTCGAATAGGCTAGGGTTTCTGAGAACCCTAAAGGACGAGAAAGTCTTGGAAGTCTCGAGATCAGATCAGAGTCGATAAGGTCAGAACCAGGCTCAGTAGGCTACGACACGCCGGAGCAAGGCCGAAAACAGCTGAAAACCTCGAATCAACAAAGGTCTGGACCAAGCTTCTTCAAGGTTTGACCTTGAAACCATAGTAATCAGGTAGGTAGAATTCATAGGAGGCAGGTACAGGCCTTCAATGGCTTCTGAAGCCATGGATTTGGTC